ACGTCAGAGAGAAAGAGCGGTTCATGAACGGAGAGAAGGTGACGACCTCTGACCTACAAACACAGAACTAGGGCTGCACAATTAATCGTATTTTAATCTCGATAACGATATCCACCTTTCATGATTAATTAAAAACAATCGTCACGATATTGGCCGGCTCGTTATTTATCCTGAAAACGTGTTTTTAATTTGGCATTTGCGTTATCTTGCATTGCTAACAAGTCTTCACTAGCGTTCATGCTTGTGGCTGCCAGATGTGAAGAGATTAAGACCCCAAAACAGAACTTTTCTCCTTTAAGGATGCACTTTCTGCCCGATGTTTTACTTAATCTGTGCAATCTGGCAACCCTGTGTGCGCGCTGACTGATGGCGGAACAAGCGCTGATGATATGAAAACATGCATGTGCTGGAGTTTAGCGATTTCTGCTTACATGAAAGTGTCATACAGCCAATGTGTGTTTTTCACAAGCCATTTGTGCTGTTTGTGAAAAATGTACATAAATTGGAATTATCGGAAGTTATATTAGGAGCTTCTAAAGTTTTTACCTGTTTTCATAATGTTAATCAGCAATGTTAGTTTTCAGTGTGTATTAACGATCTTTGAGCAAATTTCCGAGTGGTTTGACTCATTTGCAAACAAATTGTCACTTAAAAAATCTAATGTGAATACAGATTACAAAACAACACTAACCAAAAGCATGAGTTTTGTATTATCATAGTTGGTTAAATGAAGTCAGTGTATATGATAGAATAATCATTATTAATGATCGTGATTATAATTTGAATCAAAATAATTGTGATTATCAGTTTAACCATTATCGTGCAGCCCTACACAGAACACCACCTCCAGATCGAACCCATCGCCATTCTGAATGTTTGGACTAATGCTCTTTCTCTTTCTCTCTTTTAGCTGATAGCCATCATCTCTGAAGCGGCCAGTTCGGGCATCTCTCTACAGGCGGATAAACGCGTGCAGAACCGCAGGAGAAGAGTTCACATGACTTTAGAGTTGCCGTGGAGCGCAGACCGTGCCATCCAGCAGTTCGGTGAGTGTCTGTGTGTGTTTGCGTGTGTTTGAGAGGCGTCGTGGAGGTTGCTAATATTGTGGCTGTGTATCTTAGGTCGAACGCATCGCTCAAATCAGGTTACAGCTCCAGAGTATATCTTCCTCATCTCTGAACTGGCTGGAGAGAGACGCTTCGCCTCGATCGTTGCCAAGAGATTGGAGAGCCTGGTAAAATCTTACAGCAGTCTCTGTTTTTCAGATGTTAAATACACACTGAATACGTGCACTGCACACAATAAAGCTCAAAGCTTTCACTGTAAAGTAATTTTTATGTTTATACTAAAAGCAAAATACTACATGAAGTGACAAAATCTCTTGATGCTTAGTTTGTGCTCCTAATTTGAAAAATGTATGAGCATATAAGAATTGTTGGGGCACAATGAAAATGAATAAATAATTTTTTTTCCCTTAATAAAGGGATATGAGGAGACAATTATTTTAATACAAAAAGTACACTAGGTTTTTAAATATTTCTGCTTTATTATTTAATAATTATGGGATTATTTATTTATATTTTATGCAATTATTTACATTTCAAACATTTTAAAGGGGTCATATAATGCTTTTTTAAAGATCATTATTTGGTGTATTTGGTGTAACTTTGATAAAGAATATCTCTTTGGTTTTGAGACTTTAGTCTTTGCAACTTCAGGGATCTTATCTATGCACAATCAGCTTATAACACTCCAAAGAGAAAGGAAAACTTGAAATCGCATCATATGACCCCTTTAATTAATTGCCAGATACAGTTTATTACAGTTTACAGTTAACCGAAGTACCAATAATAACCAGAAATAAAATGTTCTGCATAATGCAGGACTTTTAATTATAAACAAGCCCAAACTACAGCAGGACTCTTATTTTGAAATGTCTTTACAAATTTCAGCTGCTCATCAGATAAAGGAAATAAAATATGCGCTCTTACACCTGTCTATAACACATTACAGTCTAAAAATCATAAAGTAAACATTTATAGTCATAATTCATCAATGGGAGATCATAAAAAATCATTTGTCATAAATGCGTGGTGTTCATTGATTGTGAGCCTGTAAATGACCAATTGAAGGAAGAAAAAAAGACTTAATACTTGTCATTCGCACATGTACTCCTAAATACATTTTACACACATTATATTTTCTATTTTTTGGGACCAGTAAGATTTCACTATGGGTGAAACTGTCTAAAATGTGGTTCGATCAAAGCCAGTGAAAATCGACGCGACTTGTTAGGTCTTAAACGTGAAAATAAATGTGCTTTAACTTCTATATTCATTATACAGCATTTATTAGAAGCCATTCTACAGTCCTGTGAGAAACTGATTCAAATGCTGTCGGATGTTTGAGAGCTTGTTTACAGAAGTGTGTTGTGTTTTATAGGGGGCGCTGACACACGGGGACCGACGAGCCACTGAATCCAGAGACCTGAGCCAGTACAACTTTGAGAACAAAGTAGGAGAATTTTCCCCTTTATCAACCAAAATATATAATAGACTATTCTCTGTTCTTCTACATGGCTTTATTAGGGTGTTATTTTAGTTTTTTTTTTGTTTTACATAATATTAAAGTGTTTATTAATATTTAGATTTAGCTTTTATTTTTATATATTTTTAGTTTTCATTTTAATTTTAGTTTTAGCAATTTTATGTCCTTTTTTATTTAAATTTTTTTTTTAATTTCTATATATTTTTAATTCATTGTTATTATTATTTTAGAAGTTATTTATTCGAGTTTTTTCATTTTTATTTTTGTATTTTTTTAAAGTTTTTCATCTAATTAAAAAAATCTAAATTTAGCTTTATTTAAAAAAACAAAAGTTTAATAGTTTTAGGCTTAGCTTTAGTTAACAATAACAACACACTGGACTGGGCATAACCTCATTTGACTTAAGACTTCGATTAAAACTCGGAAGAAACATATTAACTGCAATGTGTTTCATAGTTGGATGAAATCTTTTCATGCTGATTCCCATATTGCATATGCAGCCCTCTACGAACACCTTGGCAATTGAATCGCCATTGGCTAGTAAATTTTTTTGTTTACTCGCCAGACTGATAAATATATACATATACATATACATATATACACACATATACACATATACATATATACACATTACACATATACACATATACACACATATACACATATACACATATATACACATATACATATATACATACACACATATATACACATATATACATACACATAT